GTTGGCTAGGGGTTTATCAATTTTATTTATTCTTTCAAAGAACCAACTCTTTGATTATTTTTTTTAAGGTAGGGTTTTCTTTATCTCAGTTGCATGAATTTCTGCTGAGATCTTTATAATATCCTCCCTTCTTTGGGCTTTGGGCTTGACTTGTTCTTTTTCTAAAAGTTTGAGGTGCAGCATTAGGCTATTTATTTGTTCTCTTTTTGTTTTCCTTATGTGTAAGTCCACTGCTATAAATTTCCCTCTGGGACTGCTTTCATTACATCCCACAGATTCCGTAAGTTGTATTTACATTCTCATTTGTTTGTAGGTATTTTTTATTTTCTTCCTTAATTTCTTCTGTGACCCATTGGTTGTTTAAGATATTGTTGTTTAATTTCCAAGTGTTTATGGAGTTTTTGGAGTTCCTTTTGTCGTTAATATCCAATTTCATTGCACTGTGGTCAGATGATATGCATGGGATAATTTCAATTCTTTTGCATTTAGGTAGGTATGATCTATGGACTAGAATGTGGTCTATTTTAGGGAAAGTCCCATGTACAGCTGAAAAAAACCAGAAGGGGGAACTCAGTCATAGATGGCTTTGATCAGGTTGAGGTAAAGACGATCCTTTCCCCTTCTGAGTTCCCCCTTCTGATTTCTATGAGTTTCTGCCTCTCTTCTCTGTTCCCAACCTTTTCCTATCTCTCAGTCCCACCCATCATCTCAGTATTCTCAAGGTAGAAACAAAAAAAGTGAACCTTTGGGACAATGTCATACAAAGCTGCGAAAATGCCAAGTGTCTATTAATAAAGCTCTACCTGTCCTCCATGGGAGATGTTGCTGGCCAATGTGGTCTCTCATGGAACTGACCTTGTTCCCTTGGGGAAGAGATGATACAGATAAAGTTAAACTATCCTTCTAAGACTCTTCAATGTATCTTCTTGGATATTTTTCCTCTGGTGACTTACTGGGACTACCCCAATGGACCCTAGCACTTTTACTCTTGTCTCTTGTCTATGGGTAACTGTCAAAATTGATGTTTCTCTAGCAAGTGGTAAAAAAAACACTTATCCCACCTACTTGCTGATGCTACTTTAATGGCAAAAGCTATTTTTATATCCACAGCAATCCTGTGAGGTACACATCATTATTTTTCTTACACTGACTGGGTAAGGTAAGGGCTCTCTCCTACGTTAAGTAGCCAGAATAATGTGAACATGGAATTAGAACTCAAACATGGGTCACTAAAGAGCCTTGTGCAGTTTGAGACACCATAGTGGTTCAATTCTGTCCATTCATCCAATTAACAGACTGGTGCTTGACTGCTTTTATAACAGAATCCCTTCATACAATTTGCAGGGAGGAGAGTTCAGCATATCAATTCTTCAAGGCACTTAATGTCCCAGAAATATTCAAATGTTATTGAGACCTTGCAAGGTGTTTAAGAATGTTCACAAGAGCATTGCTGACCTCAGAGTTAGCCCTTGACTGCATTTAGCTGTTCAGTTCCAACAGACATAAAAGCGTAAGGAATTTCAGCAGCAGAAAGCTTTCCCCATAGATACCCACCCCTAGCTTAACGACACACAAATCTTTAAGCCAATACTTTCAAGGACTTCTCTTCTTGATTTACTATTTGAAAAATCAAAATACTGTAAACTTTCAAAGGTTGCTTTTCTGATGACAAGCAAGGAGATTAATGGATTGGTTTTTTACTGTTTATTTTGTTTCGGTTGAGATCTAAGGGTTAGTTTACATCCCTGAGAAATTCCAAGTTGCCCTCTGAGCTCTTATCTGACATGTAACCAATTTTTTAGTCTGGCTGGGCTTATCCAGGATATAACTACAGATTGTTCATTGTCAGAGAAAAGATTTTTGCCCCTAGAATTATATAAGTATATCTCTCAGAGGATTCTTAGAGGAGAAATGATCAATGAGCAGGCTGTGTGCTCATTCACAAATGTCAGTGCACCCTTTCTTTACAGCTGACTGCTGGGTTTTTCTGAAAGTTTCAAAAGAAAGAAAACTTATAAGTTCTCATCATGTTTGGAGTGGGGTTAAAGAGGAGTCATAAAAAAAAAACTGATTGACACTACATTCCCAAATTTCTGTGGCATTCCTTTTACTGCACTCAGGTTATTATTACTGATCTAAATCCCTTAGTTTTCTAGAAAGCATAAAAGTATAATTGTTTTCATCACTGAATCAAAATTACCTATTGTCACTTTGCATTCATTTATTAGAGTAGTTCTTATCATACCCAGAAAATAATGAAGTTTTGGAGGAATGCTAATAGCATTGGCAAACCTATGCTTGATTACATTAGGGAATGTTCATTACATTGAGTAAGTTTTAAGAGTACCCTTCCAGTTGTGACACAGATTTGGGAGGAAATGGACAGTTGAATGGGTGTATGAGACTGAGTGATTTAGGTGAGCCACTTTGATCTTATGTACTCTACGTCATATCAGTGTTAGGGAGGTTCTAATGACTGTTACGGTGACTGTAAAGCCTTCCTTCCAGGATTTATACAGACTGCTTTACGCTGATACATTTCTCTCCTAGCATGGAAAATATAAAGAGATTCCATTGAAGAGCCTTTCTTGGACCTCTTAATCTTTGAGGGGGAAAGAACTAGGTCTCTTGCTCACCACTGTATCTCCCAAACACTATTATGTGGCCCGTAATAGATACTCAAAAATATTGGTTCAATTTAGGAATGTATACTCAAAAATATTGGTTCAATTTAGGAATGTGGGGACTGAGAAAACACATTGAATGAAACTACTGGACCAGCTGTCATAAGGTAAATACTATTTGCTTCATTGACTTCTGTGGGAAACTTTCATATTTAGGTTCTGGAAGAGTCTTATTCTTTCTCAATTAAATAGAAATAATAAACACACTACAAATTCCCAATGCTTATGAGACCATGAATTTACCCCCAAAAAGAGCTTTCTTCATAATATTTACCTGGAATTCCACTGGCATCTTGCTTGATAAGATCCTTCCATAGCACAGCTTCAGGAGATCATAAGTACACAGATATTAAGCCCTAGTCCCATTAAAGGAGTAGGGAGATAACATCAGCTAACTTAGCTCTTCCACTTCTCCCAGGGAAGATGCTAAAGATGGTGTGGCAGTAAGTAGTGTGAAAGTATTGGCCATATGGGGGTGGAATAGACAGGTGAATATCTAGTCATCCTCATTTTCTGTCCAGGCAAATGTCCTCTGAGACACCACCTCCCTTCCTACCTTTAGCCATTGTCCCACATAGGTCTTCAGTTTCTCTTTGACTCATGACTCTTTCAGGTAGGATGGCTCCCAAGCCACTCCTGAGACATGCTTAGCATCATGGGACTTATTTTGCTTCTTCCATGTGACCATCTTCTCAAGCCTGTTTCTGGCCCCTCCCTTGGTAATCTAAATTTTCCTTGGTCTTGACTCCCACCTCCAGCCTAAGGAAATTTTAGAAGCATTTTTAATGGAAAAGCTGATTCAAAGTGTTTCATCCTAGCTGTTTTTGGAACCAAGATAACCTTGCTCTTTGAATTAGGTGCATGATGAAGAGGGAATAGAAGGAAAATTTAGTGAAGATGTTTTGTAAAGACAGCTGCAGTAATAACTTCTATCCTTTCTCTCTGTTCTTTTTAAATGTGACTTCGCTGCTCCTCCAGCAAAAGATGAAGTCTGTTTCAGTTCTCCTTGACTCAAGGCTGCCCTTGTGTCTTACTTTGATGAACAGAATGTAAAGGCATTGATATGTGATTCTTACACTGAGGCTGCAAATGTCCTTGGAACTTGCACAATCATCCTTGTGCAGTGTGGCTTCATGATGGGAAAGAGCCCAGGACAATCTCTCCAAAAAAAGGACCCATGGAGACAGAAGCTCAGTGACAACCAGGACCAATTCCCTGACATTGTATGAGGCCACCTTGGAATTCTCCCAATTTGAACTATCAAATCACTGATGACCTAAGACTCTAGGCAAAAGCAAAAGGATAATCTACCTCTGAACCCAGACCCACTGCTGACTCACTACCTCACTGGTAAAACTACAGTTATTTTAGGCCATTAATGGGTAGAGCAATTTGTTATGAGTCAAGAAACTGATACAGATATAAATACCAGAATGGGAAAACCCAGGTAATGTCTCCATGTATTACGGTGGTACAGTTATGACTGAAGTTTAATGTCCAATGATTTCAGCACCAGACTATCTGCCAGAATGTCATGCAGCATTTAGATGCAGGTGTTTCTCCAACAATCCAGAGTGATATGACAAGGATGACCTCTCAGCATTAACATGAGTCCCCGGAGAAGTGTAGGGAATGGTGATCAACTCAGCAAGAATTTATTGATGTCCCTGTGCTATGTCATTGCCCATGGTATGAAAACACCAAAATAATCCCACCCATCAAAACGTTTACAATCTACTTGGTGGGGAAAAATTAGGACAACATATTTCAACCAATTTTCCTTCAAAACCAGTTACATTTTTGAAGCTAATGCTGAGAGTGAGAGTCTGTCCCACAGTTTAAGCAGTCTCTCCTAACACCTTTGTTATGTTACAGTAGCTCCCCAAGGACAAAGACATCAGCACACAGCACTCATGACACACTGATTTAAATAACCCCAATAATTTATTTTCTCTGTAACTTCTATTGATCATAAAAACTCTTATGTGATCTGTGTGATAGGTCTGCACTTGCTTGCTGATATTGATCAAGTAGATTCCTTTGTGAAAAGCTACATTGATTAGTTTCCTGACACTCTGTTAAGGCCACCTGTAAAGCTGTTACACGTGATACTTGTAGTCAGAGGAGTGGGGCTAACCCATAATGTCTTTCTGCAGGGAGACTGAATGGAAGATAGATGAATGCAGACCACATTTTCTGTGCTAGCTAAGCACCTGGTGATCCATCTCCTGGCTTCTTTTTCCATGGGGAGAAAATTAATATCCAGGCAGTAAACACTCTTCACTGTCCTTGGAAAATCCACGTGAAACATACAAAGCTAAGGGAGACAGTACTGGTCATTTTAGCAGCCTGGTTCAACTACACCATTGGCAGGGCCATTCTCTGCGGTTCCTCTGCAGAATGCCAACTGCAAAAATAAACAAAGAAGAAAAAAGAAAAAAAACCCACGAACAGGATCCCAAGTCTTTATGGAAGACAATGAATATGATTTGTCATGAAAATTACAGTGCAAACAGAGAGGAATAAGATGCTGGGGATATAGCTCAGCAACACAAGTGCCTACCTGGCAAGTGCAAAGTCCTGAGTTCAATTCCCTGTACCAAAAAAAAAAAAAGAAAAAAGAGAGAGAGAGGGGGGATTAAGAACAATGGTCCTCAGCACTTTCTCACAAAAGAATACAAGATCACAAGCACAAAGGACATGGGGAAGTTCCTATTTCTTCATAACTAAAATTAATTAATAGTCTATGCAACTGAAAAAAACAAATAGCCATGGTTAAACCTGCCCTTCACGTGAGCTAAGCAAAATGTGGGGAAGATAGGGGCAGGGGAGCCAGTGCTGGTTCCAGAACCTGATGGTAGCTGGAGGAGCTTGCCCCAAGGATGTATTTTAGAACCTATTGCCCTGAAATAGAATTTACAATAATTTCATAATTGATTAAGTTGGACTGACAGTTGAACTATGGGTAAATTTACCTGAGATGAAAGAAGTCTTTTAAGGTTACATGGTACAGATACTGGCCAAGCTTATGGTTCCTTGAGTCCATTTGATATGATATGTACTTAGGCATGATTAGTCCTTTAATTTGAGGTTAAACTAGTTTGGGTCACTCATTTAATAAAAACAATGAGTGAAGTTCTGGCTCTGTCACTCATTAGCAATGTGACCTTAAGCAAACTGAGTACCTACTCTGAGCCTCTGTTTTGAGGAATATGTGAGAAAACACAATAATTACTTACCTGTAGGTGGTAGACTAATGGTGATTTTTAATATGTTCTAACAGACCTGTGCTCTTGTTGCTATCAGCCTTCACATAAAGGCATATTCCTGTTGAGGGAATGTTTTTGCTTGTTAAAGAGGGAGTAATTGTACTAACTAGGAAGCATAACCAAAGATAGGGAGAAAAGAGATAACAGGGCATCCAAATAAAGGCTGAAAATACTACAAAAAGAGTTGTTTTTCAGTGTGCAACAGCAACAATAAACATTAACCCACAGCTGATAAGTTTCTGGTTTGTTTTTGAGCATTAATATAAAAGCCATACTGGAGAAGATCCTTGGAAGACTTCCTGCTCACCCAATAAGCAAAATGCCTGAGACGTCTGCAGAGTATTCCCTGTACCAATCATCCTGACCCCTGCCCTTTTCTGGAGAAGCACCGTAAGCAGAGGGATCAAAGGGAAAACACCATTTCCCATGGCGTCCCTCACACGGGAAGAAAGTAACTTTTTTTCCAAAGGAAAATAATCATATATAAATGAGTTGGCTTATAATATTTTGAATTTGTAAATCCTATAAGATATTCTTATCAACATGATGTCTTGTCCTGGTTGAGATGTACTGAGGACCCATGCTTGTCCCAATTTGGGAGTGGAGAAATCTACAGCCATTAATTAAAGATGGCATAGATGGTACCAGGAAACTCTACTCAAGCCTGGGCCTTTGGCCATCTAACTCTAATCTTTTTTTCTTTTACTCTACAATGAATATAACAAAAATTCAAGTTCAGAAAGTAGCACAAAACAACATTAAACATATGCTGTGAAATTAGTTGGATCCAATATTTTGTGGGTTGACAGGTGAATTACCAGGGAAATGAGTGCAAGCAGACTTCAACTCAGGAAGTAGGCAAGGGAAGTCAACATAACTTGGGACAAACAGCTGTACTGTCTATAGGACTGTTCCTGCTTTTGTAGAGGTCTACTGTGGCAAGACACCACACAAGACTCTTTTTCTTATACCTATGTAGCTCCCAAAGAGGTTGGCACTCACTTTTCTGGGTTTGTTTTGTTTTATTTTTGTAGTTCTGGGGATGAAACCCAAGGTCTTGTGACTGTTAGGCAAGTGCTCCACCACTGAGCTACATTCATTCACAGCCTAAGACTCAATTTTCTAAGGACAGAAATGTTTTTACTTTTATTATTTAAAAATATCATTTTGTCATATGTAATCTTTTACTAGGTTACAGAATTGACATGTGTTCGCCATTATCACTGAGTCCAATGAGTAATGTAAACTCCTGTAAAGAAAATATTAATCACATCTCTGTCTAACACAAAACTAAGCACTATAACCAATCTGGGGTTTTTCTACTCATACGTCTTTATACTTTTAAACAAGTAAATATTGATATGAGGGACTTAAGGTTGTTACTGTAATTTGGTTTCTTCCTCATGTGACAATACATTATTGACAATCTTCATCTGGATTCATTGTGTCCATAAATAGAGATTTAATTCATACATTTTAGGAAACATAATATTTCATAATAGGATTATACCAGACTTTATCTAATCTTTCCCTTATTTATGGACACTGTATGTTTTTGTTTTATTTTGTTTGTTTTTTTTCCTTGATAAATAATGTGGTAAATATATTTATTTAGAAAAGTCTAAGGGCTACTATTTCATTAGATAGACTCCTTTGAGAGGGATTTATGGGAAGAAAGCTATGTATATTTTAAATTTAAAGCATGTTGTCACATTATAAAAATAAAATCCTGATGGATTAGAGATTTAAATTTTAAACATAAAGTAATAAAATTCTAGCTATGCAGAATATTTGCAATCAGCTACAACAAACCTCTGCTTATAAATCTTAAGTAAATACAAATCCATATCAAAACCAAAATGAAAATTCAACCTTTTAACTAGGTTTAAATTTGCAGATAAACTCAGGGAGAGAGGGAAAGACAGACAGACAGACAGACAGACAGACAGACTGGCTGGATGGCTGGCTCTGGGAGGGAGAAGGCAAAACATAAAACATACTACTTGATTCTGATCCAGCTGAACACCAAAATTCAGTAAAGTGCCATCATTTTGTGCCCTGGGATGAAGTTTCAAATTTTCATTGGTGTTGGTTTTCTTCTTAATTTTCAGCTATTTTTATGAATCAGCAGCAGGTCCTGGTGCGGTGATCAGCAGTGCTATGCACAAGGAGAGTGTCTGAAGAACAGGGTAACTTTGTCTGGTTACCTACAGGAGCTGTGTTAGTTTGGGTGAGATTTCTGAAATGAGTGAAAGCTGAGATGCTCTTGTTCACAGGGGAAAATCTAAGACATTGTGTGGAAATGGGAAAAAGAGGGAAAGGTAACCAGGCACAGAAGGAAAGAGTAGGAAAGAATTGCGATATTTATGAGAAAATGCATTGTTTGTGCTGTTAGCGACCAATGTGATTCCCTGAGCTCCCCATAAAATAGAACAGTCTAACTTTATTTACTACTTTTCAGAGTCTGCTCATCATTTGGGGAAGAAGCGGGAGTGGTAAAAGGGACATGAAATGGCAACTCTGGTCTCAGGGGGCCAGGAGTGTCCCAGGGGAGATTATCACATGTGGCCAGAGTTTGAAGTATTGTTCAAAAATTGAATTAAAAATAAAATCACATCCCAATCTTAAACCTCTAAACCTCTGGATCAATCGTAGTTTACAAAGCATCTAAAGAAAGGAAATTTTTGAGCAACTGATCAAAGCAGCACTCAGAATGGAACCACTGATTGAATATTGACCCCAGCAGGCACTGTAATTGCAACTCATTGGGAAATCATTACTAGTTTATTTTAGCGATAGAAAGCATAGATTGAAATGAGAGAGGCATTTACTTCTCTGGATCAAGGGAACAACTAGGGAACAAAATCCCTCTGACCCTCCATTACACGGTGGAGGTGTAGCATAAAGTGGGGTAAGGGGGTTCCTTGTTAGGAAGATTACATGTTGGCTTACCCAGATTTCTATAGCTGTAGAAGATAACAGGATCCTTTCCACCACTCGAGTTTTCATCCTCTCTTCCAAAGTGCAGCTACAGTCACCTCAGCTACAATAAGCCTTCCCTTACTCTCCAAGCCTCATTTGCCTTGCCCTTCTCTATGTTTATTTCACTCCAGTGAGTACAGGACAGTGACGAAGAGCTCGATAAGTTGTGCAAAGTAATTCGGGTACATCACCACTTTTCGTCTTCACACATAGTCAGTGAAGTAGGTCTTACTAATTTCTACACTGTAGAAATGAGAAAAATAATGCTTCATTAGAAATGGTCAAAAGAGAAAAGTGAGTAAGAAAAATAAATAAATGTAGAAGTTCTAATAATATACTTTACAAGCTTAACAGGTAAGTATAAGGGAGTGTTGGGGAGTATTTATTCAACTTTGCAGACTGCGTACAGGAATTAGCAAATATTTCCTATAAAGGGCCAGGTAATGTTAGTCTCTGTAATAACTAATCAATTAACTCTGCTGTTGTAGTCAAAAGTAACCCACAGCCATAAGTAGATTAATGGTTAACCAACGTTCCTGTTACTGAGGCAAAATACCCAACACCTACAGTGGATCAATCCACTGATGAATATAATACCCTATGACCCAGCATCCTCTAAAAGCCCCACTTCTGAGCACAGGAGATTTTGGGGAGACATTCTAGATCCAATTCATAACAAATAACAAATTTGGCTGCATTTCAATAAAATTTTGTATGGAAAGTCAGGTGACAAGCAGATTTGACCCATGGCTATAATTTACTGACCACTATCCTGCAATATAGACCCCTTAGGTTCAACATTATTTCCAGGTTATTATAGGGATATATAATAAGTCTCCAATAAATAAAGTCTGATTTCAGAATCCAACTAGGTAAGAATTGCTTGTAGGAATCATCTTGTGGCCCCTCTTAAAAATACTATCTCTAGTAGATGATTGTTTAGCCACAGCTCACACATCTCAAAAGCTCTTGCCTTCATAGGTTATCCATATTTATCAGAGCTGAGATGGAAATTTTATGGCACTTTTGTAATTACATTTCTGTTTGTTTGACTAACAGAACAAAAAATTTATAACTATAAATATTAAAATCTTGACCATGTGTATACTGTCTATCCAAAAAAGAAAACCATTCTGGAAAACATATTTTCCTCTGAATACTGTTGTGCATAACATCCTAAATTCACCCTGATAAACACGTGCAAACCAAGAGTTTAAAACAAACTGTCACCCAGTTGGAAGAATCAGTAACACTGATTTTATTTGCATTGCTCCTGTGAAAAAGCATCTATGCAAAACACATGTATTGCATATAATATACACAAATTCCTATTGTTTTCTTAGAATAAGACTAATCACAGAGAACCTAACTTATCTTGAATTTCCACATAAGATGATGAATGTCAATGTATCTGTCTTTTATTCAGAATCCTTTCAAGGCTTATTACACGCATCTATCTATATCATGTGGGGCTGTAAGGAGGAAGCAAATATATACATCATAGAACCCTTACCCTCAGTAACCTTAAAAATCTAGTTGAATAGACAAGTCAGAATGTCACAAAAATTTAGAAAACTGCATGTGGCTTTTTGGTCCTATGTTAGTCAGAAAACTTTTGACAATTTGTCAACATCTTACAGATGTTGTTGGTGCAACACACCATAAAATAAAATGTATTTCTATTTTGACCAAAAGTAATAGTGATTATTTGCATTTCTATTCTGCTTTGTAATCTTCTCGAAACATTTTAATACTTTTATGTATCCTCCTTCCATAAATTGTACATAGCGAGCAATATTAGCCTTTTTATAAATTAGGAAACTGAGGCCCAAAAAGAGTATTTTGTCCAAGGCCACAGAGCAAGCTAAGGAGAGTGCCAGTATCTAACCCATATCTTCTAATTCCTAACTGCTGGCTGTTCCCATTAGACAGGCTATCTTTCCTTCTGATGATATATATGAAACATTCATGAATGCAATTGAAATTTCAGTAATGTGGACTTGGATGCTAATCAATGCTGGATAGAACAAAAACTCTCTCAATCTAGCTCAAAGGAAAGAAAGATGGAATGATGCAAGGGAATCATTCAGAACATAGAGGCCGCAATCACAGCCATGTTCCATGGCAATTGGAAAATTCTTAGTAATAAAAGGATCTTTCTTTCAGAATCTTCCCACTCTTCTCTGCTGCTTTTCTTCCTCTGTCACTCAGCTGCCCCTAACTTACCAATGGCCACATTAACTGATTAACTGCAATAGCCTAAATCTCTGGCTTTCCTGCACCAGTAAAGGGGGAAATTAAAATCTGAAATAAAGCCTGCCCAGGATGTCCACCAAGACCAAGTGGACATGTCCAGCAGGCAGAAAACTCCTTCCTGTGTGTAAACCCCTGTCTTTACTGTCTTTGTATAACTGATGGCCTTGCAATATACCTTAAAATGCAACAGGACATTTCTTCTTCTATATAATCCATGTTTTGTATAACTGATGGCCTTCCAATATAACCTGAAATGTTTAAATTCCCTCAGCAACTCAAAATGCCACCCAACCCTCCAATTATATGTGCCAAATCTGCCTTTATAATGCCCTGCTTGCTTTCCCATAAAAACCCAGAAACCTTGCCAGGCCAGGCTCTGACTCTTCAGGATCCTAGTCAGAAGTCCACCAGTATAATAAATTCCCTCCTAAACCTTCTGGGTACCATTTCTTTCAGTGTTTGGTCTGTTTTCTGCAACACCAGAATCTCACTGGAGATTTCCTATAACTCTTCTAGTTCAGTTACTGGTAGAGACAATCTGGTCCTTAGTCAAATACTTTACAGTTCAAATTGGGTGTGAGTATTGTACTTTGTTTATTCACAGAAGCTGCCAGGCTTTGCAAATTGACCTTTCTTTATGGTTTATTGTACAAAGTAAATGAAATATTCCAAGTAAGGTACTTACAACAATAAGTACAACAACCTGATATGTGGTGAAATGCTAATAAATAACAGTTATTCCAGTCCAGTTGCATCGGTCATTTAACTTGCATGAATTCAACCATCCACATTCAGTAAAGGGGAAAAGAGAATAAGAAAATATTTAAATACTACAACCTTTGAGCATAGCTTCTATGCAAAGATTATTGCCTTGAGTGAGCACAAGCTGAGAGGCGGAGAGCTGCGGTGGCCCCACAGGCTCTCAGGGTCCTTATGCCTCTCCCAGCATGAGCATCTCAACCTGCTGTGCGGATTCCGATGTTTACTCGTGTTTGTCTGCAACACAGCCAACAGTTTAGAGCAACACTGGGGAACAATGACTACTCCAGAGTTCTCACTGAAATACCTTTGACCTAGGTTAAGAAATAAAGTACAGCACTTTAAAAATACTGGCCTTAATCAATTTTAAAAATTTGACTTGTAATAATTTTGTTCTAATATAACTGTCATTTTTTTCCCTTGAAGTAAAACACATGTAACATAAAATCTACTATTTTAACCATTATAAACATGTAGTTCTGGGAGGCTGAGTACATTCACACTGTTGTGTAACCATGGCCACCATCCTCCAGAACCTTTTCATCTTCTGAAAGTGGATCTCTGTCCCTAGTGAACACTGACTCCCGATTCCCCTTCTCTAACCCTTGATAACCACCATTCTCTGTCTATGAATTTGACTGCCCTAATCGTCTCCTACAAGTGGAATCATGCAACATTTGCCTTTTGTGACTTGCTCACTTCTCTTAACATAGCGAGTTCAAGGTTTATCCATGTTGTAGCATGCATCAGATTTCCATTCTCTTTTGAGGCTGATTCATATGCCTTTGTCAGTGGACACTACATTTTTTGAAAAAATATTCACCTTCTATCAATGGATATTTGTGTTGGTTCCACCTTTTTGACTATTTTGAATAAAACTGCTTTGAACATTGCTGCACACATCTGTTGAATTCCTGCTCTCAAATCTTTTGAGCACATATCCAGAAATAGAATCACTTGTTCATGTAATAATTCTATTTTTAATCTTTTGAAAAACCAATAAATTGTTTTCCACAGTGGCTGCACCCTTTCATATTCCTACCAGCAATGTACAAGAGTTCCAGTACTTGCACATCCCCAAAGTGTTTGTTATTCTCTTTTTGATAATGATCATCATAATGAGTGTGAAGGAGCTGCATTGTCATTTGAACCTAACCCCTTATAAGACATGATTTCACTATATCACAAAGATAAGGCTGATGCAGGCAGGATGTGTTCAAGTGTAACTTACATCAACCTCAAGCCAAAGATTAGCCAAGGTAAGGAGAAGCAGAAACTATACCAGACCGAACATTGCTCACTGCCTCTAGCTGTCATCAATTTGCTTGGCCTGTGTTGCCTACAGAAAAGCACATGCACCTTGGCGATGAAGAAAACAGGCTTCTCTCGATTGTTCATTTTCTTCTCTTGCAATCAACAACAGCCAGGAAGAGGCCCACTGTTCTCCATTTTCCTATTAGTGGTGAGATATTGGTGGAGGTGCTCTGAGCTCATAAAAGCAAAGAGGTGCATTCTGCTCGGGTGCAAGTCTGCCAGACAGATCTAAGATACAGTATAATTTCAGAAAATACAATACAATACAGATACAATTTCAGAAAAGCAAGTTTTAGGATAAATATGTCCCAAATATCACCTTAATTTTAATTTGTCAACCCATCTGGCCGCCAGCTGACCTAGAGTTTCTGGGAGGACCATGCAGCAATGCTCTGAGCTCTTGCAACTCTGAAACACTTAGACTGAGGCACTGGGCGGGGAATGGGTTACCACTGTCTGGCACAAGGCTGCTTGTGGCTCCTGAAATTGTTGTCAGCATCCTTAAAATACTCTCACTAGAACTGAGGTACTCAGGGAACCCAGGCCTTGCAAGATGACATGCAAAGGGAGCTATAATTAAGACATGGAGTCCAAGTATGGCCAAGATGGCAGGATTTGTTAATCGCTGCTAGGAAATAGCAGGGAATAGCCAAACAACTTTTAAAATGCATCCTCCTCCTCCTCTTCCTCAATAGAAATGGCCAAAAGCAATTGAGGTCAGATGTTTAACTGGAAAGAAGATTTTACATATAAAAGTTGGATTCATGGCCACCTGACGTGCAGTTCCTCATCTCTTACACCCCTCTCAACGTTTCCATCCTGATGGTAACCCATCCCTACTGAACAGAACAGGAAGACTGTCTTACCTTCCTAGTGTCAGACACAGACACTGAACGTGAAAGTGTATATTTAAA